GTAACTTACTGATGACTTGTAACCTCAGTTCCTTTTGCATCGTGAAATTCTTTGTTGTGAAGGTGCAGATATGGTGAAAATTCGTACCGGAGGGTTTTCTGCTCAGTTCAACAACATTTTTACTGATGCTGTAATTGTTTCCAGAAAGCCACCTTATTTTAAGGTTGTATGTTTTAATCTTTCGTCGAAGCAACTCATTTGCAAATTGGCACTTTACTCTACCATCCCACAATTCATGTATCTTGTCAGGACCATGTGGGCTTGAGTGTGTGAATTCCAGAGTTTCGGACTCTGAAATCGGTAAAGTAATAACAACAGAACATACACTGTAGATAGATATATATCGAACTCATGGCGGACTAACCGATATCAATGAAACAAATATCTGAGACAAACAGTTCAACGGAGATAAAATGTCATCATACGTGACCGCATTTCATCAAAATGTATTTTGGTGAATTTCAAACAATTTAGGTTCAAGCGAAATATGAGTTTGACGAAAACTAGGGGAGCATACCGATCTGATGGAACTGTCAAAGGATTTTTTTAGCAAACTTGTAAACAATTCAATCCAAGAATCCAGATATAATACCCGATGAAACACGACATAGCTTTCGGACAGAACATCTATCTGAATATTGTGGGGGTTGATTTTCGGGTTCAAACGAGTCGCTCATTAAAACCATAGCAGAGTGTAAATGGGTGTATTTTCCAAAACATAGTGAATTAATTTTCAATCTGGCCGAGCAATTAATTCACCTGCACAGGGTGTGGCACCTCCTTTTCCAGTTTTATTTCAACCCTAAGAATCAATACCGATTTCCCATATTTTTTCCCACTACGCTTATGCCTGTCATATACACCAAAAAATACCGTTATCCACTCTACCGTCACCTTTCCCAAATGCTTTTCGAGATATTTTCCTAATAGAGTTTGAAAAACGCTTATTACCACAGCTTCACTCTGCTGCATAGTTTTATGCGAGAGCGCGCAAGTATAGAATGATCGAGGTTTCATGTATACAATCATTTACTTCGGCTGGTTTTGTATATTTTCGGAGACTGGCCAACCAAAACACAGCTTACGGCTTTTCGCATGTGACCTTTAGATATGCACTGAGTTGGATACCTGACCGAAATTCGCAGCGTCGGGTAGGTCAATCAGTTCATCTATCGTGCATATTTTCTCTCTGAACACGTTCCACTTTTAGGGGAACGTAACTTTAACAAGGATACACGGAGAAACTGATAATGAACCAGGTTCTGCACTCGCCGAGCATTTAGCTGAGTTGTGCTGAGTAAGCATTTTTGGCTATACAACGACAATTTTTAACTGACTTAACTGTGTCTCTGGGTATCGCCGGGTCAGACGTTTGTGGACTCACGTGAAAATTTTATCCTGGGAAATACGTTACCTAATGATCGTCCACAGTGAAGCTCATTACGATTACGTTATTCATATAATCCAGACATCATAAAATGTATCACATGCTTATGAGCATTGCTGTACTACATCTGATTCGAAGAGGTAACGGGCTGTGATGGTAGGGTCATGGGTGTGTACTGGTGGTGCGCAGTACTTTGGAGTGCTCTCCGGCAAGAACGTGAAAGGATACAAATCAAGGACTGATCTTTTGAGGTATTTGCCCTGCGTTTAGGTTTGTGGATAAATCCTCCGGAATTCGTAAACGTGCTGGTGTATTTTTAGTGCATATTTTGGTGCGGTCGAAAAATAGGCTCAAACAGGCAGACTGTCCTTAGCTTTCCTGACAACTATAATGGCTGTGGTCCACGACGAACAGGGCATTAGACTGATAAAACCCAATAATTCCAGTATTCAGAGTTCTACATTAGTTACGTACTTGCCTCCTTGGAAAAAATACTTGGAGTACACTAGGACACAGATACAATACAGGTTCCATCTTGGAGCATATATACAGGCGTTCAGCATAGATAGCCGTGGCATGAACACAAAAGGTATTTTCACTATCATTGAAAGTTACTGGTGCAGTTAAACAATAAACTGCGTTACGGTGCCATTGCGAATACTGTCTAAAGGTAAATGTCATAAACTCAGTTTTGCTAATCAATCACACAAACTCAAATTGGATTTATCCAAGAAAAGGCAACTTGATACCGGATGCATGCGAAGTTTGATCACATATGGGTTTAGCAAGTCTGTTCTATACCGACACAGAGGTTATGGTAGTCTAGAGCAACAGCTCATTGAAATTGAACAGAATCACCTTACATTATAAGTTCTACTACTTCCGCAGTGACCTATATTGTGGAGTTTGTTGCAGAAACAACATTCAAACATTTACGTTGAAAACTGGAAGCCGTGTTGAAGTGTCGTGACTTTCTTTCATGATTTTTTTTCCCAAATATTCTCCTTCCTTATACCGAATATTCCAATATCGATAGCCAATGTCACCTGAACTGTCAAAACCGAGCAAAGCACCAACCGAATATTCCAATATCGATAGCCAATGTCACCTGAACTGTCAAAACCGAGCAAAGCACCACTTACCACCAGAGATCACTACCTGAGCGAATTCTATTAGTAAAGAGTAGATGTATTGGGATGTGCAATGACCTGGAGTATGCGGGAAGAGTAGGTAGATCCAGCACACGCTGGATCACTTTTGCATAATGTTTTAGCATTACCAAACTTTCGCATTCTCGCACGAGCTCTTGTAATACCTATTTAAACATGAACAAATATAGCACATTTCTTCACTGGATGATTGATCCGGGAACCAGATCAAGGCGTGTATGATATGAACTTTTTCGGCGCAGCCTGAAGAGACGGTGCGGAAGAAGTCCATTCTAACAAGTGGAATCTACATACTCAGTGTCTGTCATTGAGGGCCCCTGGAGCATTTCGATCCTCGGAGTATCAGAGGCAAACATAGAAGTTTCAAGTTTCATGTCAATAGCAAAGTTGGAGAGGAATGTTCAGAGAGCAGCCTTGTCCTACAGCACAAGATGTGTCGAGCTCAGAAGCTTGGCGTATACCCGTACGTGCTCACTACAATCATCATAGAGTGCTCTTGTAAGAGATGAAAATTCTGAATGGATGCCTTAGACCTCCCGGGTCTGTCTGCATCTGACAGAGTCGAAAGCACTATTCATATTAAGAGGATTGACCATCTTTGAATGTCTGAAGGAGTTGTGCTGTTCTATACCCTGTTTGAAAGTAAACATATGGTCGGTGCACAACCGGTCACGTCAAAGTCTAGCATGATACTCAAGAATCGCTCCCCAGTTAAGGAGAGAAATTCTTGACAGATATTCTTGCTGGCGCAAGATAATACCAGAGAGCACTTCAGTTAATTCAAGATTAATTCAAGGTTTAATGGTCTAAAAAGCAATTAACTTTACAACGACCATAGGGTGAACGTATATACACAAAGGGACGCAAAAATATGCGTAATGTTTACTGAGTATCACATGGAGTTAAACAGTTCCAGATTCGGTTTGGACATAAGATATGCATCTAAATTGTTCTTGAAAATGGTTAAACTCGGCGAATGTACAACATTGGGAGGTAGGGAGTTCCAAATGAAACACACACGGACCGCAAAAAAGTCCCGTCGACAGTTCACCCTCGAGTGAGGTACCGCGAGCGAAAAGTCATGCCTCCTGCCCGTTCGTGTTCGACGTCGGACAAAAAGGTCTTCCAGCGGATGATTAGATGTCTTCAGTATATTATATGTTAGAATTAGGTCTCCCCTGATGCGCCGATAGTAGAAGTCAAATAGGTTGAGACTGGCAATCCTGTCTTCGTATGGTTTATTTTGTAATCCAAATGCTGCGGCTAACAGGCTGATATGATTCGGTTTTAGCGTGACATTCTTGAACGCCTTGGCAGGCAGGGATTACGGTCGAAGCGTTGCATTACATCTTTGTGTTTTCTTTTAAAGTTATCCGTATGAGGGTGCCCCTCGCGTAACGGCGGATACTACTGATGAGGCACGCGAGTAATATGTGGTTTCCCCTTAACTCCGCCTCGCGTTTTATGAAACGTGGGGTTTACTATGGAACGTGTGGTACTGCTTTGAAGCGTTTGCTTACAATTGCGTGGCAGTCAATGAATATTCACATGTGGGGATGTTCAGTTCTTAGAAATAAGGTGTAGATGAGATGTTTATTGTCCTTTCCAATTGTTTGTAACTGTTTAGTCGGTGTTTTCTAGTAGACCACTTCGTGACAAGGGGCTCTCCACTTTGCGCTCGTAGTTGCCCTACTCGCTAGGGTTTCATCGAATTTTAAGCAGCACACTACACTGGAAGGATGATTTGTTACGTTTGAGGGATTTCTGTTGTTAAGGCCAGATTGCTGGTTTTGTTTCGCTCCGGCTCGCTACTAGAGTTTGCCACTGTAGTTCAGAGTAAGTCGGAAAAACACCTAAGTAATGACACGGGGGTAGAGTGCGCACGCGGCCAACCGACCGCTTTCGTGGCTGGTAAGCGAATAACCGAGTCACATATCCAATCATCCCACAACGCTCACGCGAGCGAGCCAATCGGACACGCACCCAATCAGCCACTCAAGTTACACGCAGATCGATGGTTGAACGACGAACGGACACACACGCAAACTGTGACACACCGAAGCAGCTACTGTAGTCCTCCACCGCTAGATTTAGCCAACTTCAGCTTGGTAACGTTCGACCGGCCTAGCCGGCGCAGGCACCCTGACGCATCTGTGGTTGTTTCCAAACTTGCTTCACCCCGGAGTCCACCTGTCGGCTCAGGTGCTTGTTCCGCAACTGGTCGATGCTTCCTAGTTCTGATATGGTCTAAATAACGGCGTATTATCCTCCCGTCTTCTAACAGCATGTCGATAAGGTTACGGTTGGTCGACTTCACACATCCACGCACCCATTCATTATCTGAAGGCTGAAGTTTGACGTAAACCTCATCACTACCTCGTAATGTGCGAGGTCGGGCGTGTTTATCTGCTTTTTGCTTCATGGAACACTGCCGTTGTTTGACCTTAAGCGCCAAATCCGGTCGCAGCAGGTCCAAACGTGTTCGAAGTCTTCGTCCTCGCATAGTGATTAACCATGCCTAAAAATGATCCTAGTTCATGTTTATTCCTTGGTTGCGGTGCCTCTACTACTGGACGTATTTTCTCGGCTAGGGGGGCCAAACCCTCTGCACTGATGCGGAAACCCAAATAGTCCACATGATCCACCAGGAAGTCGTACTTTTCTTTCTTTATTCTTAGTCCACACTCCTTCAAACGATCAAGTACCAGTTTCAACGACTTTAAATGCTCCTCCATGGTACACCCGGTTATCAGAATATCGTCCAGATAGACGAACGTTTTAGGTATCTCTGCAATGTTTTCAATTGTGCGTTGAAATACGGATGGAGCAGAGTGGATTCCAAAAGGAAGGCGATTAAACATAAACAGACCTCTATGAGTACTGATGGCTGTAACGGGTTTCGCTTCCTCTGTTGGTTCCAGTTGCTCGTAAGCATGAGCTAGATCTAGTTTTGAAAAATATTTGCTCTTACCATTTGTGCGTAGATGTCTTCGATTTTAGGTAATGCGTAATGTTCTGAAGATGTTCTGGCATTGACCGTGGTTTTATACTCACCGCAAATTCTAACTGTGTCGTCCGGTTGCAGTACTGGTACAATTGGCGTAGCCCATTTCAAGAACTCCGTGGTTTGAATTATTCCTTCGTGTTGCAAACGGTTAAGTTCTTCTTGGACCTTTGGACGCATCAAGTGGGGGAGTGACCGAGACTTCAGAAATCGCGGTTGTGTTCCCGGCGGAACGCATATGTACACATTCCTCTCGGAGAACTTGCCCGTCTTTGGTTCTGGAAATACTTCTTCGTAATTGCGGATAAGAGATTGAACCTCAGGGAGTGTCGAGACCAGGTTTAACGTGAGTATGGGTAGTTGTTGAAGCCAGTCACGTCCTAACAGGTTTGGACCACTTCCTTCGTCCACCGTCACACACTTATATGAAACATTCACATTTTTCGACTCCAGCTACTTCACCTCTTCTCCTGTATATGTTTGAAGCCGGACTGGGACTTACTGAAGTTTGCCTTTCACGACCGGTCCCAGGTTGTCTTGCCATGATTTTTCACCGCATAGTGTTATGGCACTACCCAGCTCAAAAACCATTGGAGCACTGTTCACCTGTAGTTCTACTTGATACGGTGGTTGAACGCGGTTGGTGGGAGCAACCACTACAGTTGCACTAAAGAAACTGGTTGAACTGTTCCTTAAACTTTTCAGCACGTCGCGCAAGGGCAGCAGTTCTGTAAAGCAATTGCCGTTTCATTCATTTCACAAGTTGTTTCGCTGACACCTGCATTCTTTTGGCCAGTTGAAACAGTCAAATGAGATAGGACACAGAGAAAGCAATCTTTTCCTGAGTCTCCATAGTCCAACGGTTTTGTTTTTCATTCTTAAACCTCTTGATTAACTAGTGTTCAAAGATTCTGCGTACAACGTCGTAGTTGCCAGTTTTTGGTTGGCTTTCCCAGCCGTATAAAAACTGCTGATCACGACGATATCCTGTCATTAAGTCGACCCGGATGGCTTCGACGGGCGGTCAAGACGGCTGAGAGCCTAGCTTTTCACTCTCATCTGCCTATCTCCTAATCAGTCTTCGTCGTCTCAATCGACTTGATGTGGAGGCTTGCGCTGAAAGTTTCCACTGACAAAGTTCAGACGATATTTAGCACATAACTGAAGGAGTCCCTTCACAATATCCGTATGCTGAACATTAACTCAGAATCTGCCACCTAACTGCGCTTTTTTTGAACTTAGTGGTGCAAACGGGGTATTCATATCAACCATCAGGGTTTTGTATCTGCTTGTTCCGATAAGCAGAAAAGTCCTGCCAGATCTTGATAGAGCCTATTTTTATCATCTTCGGAAGCGCAGCCCGTCGGGGCATACGCAGATGCGTCGAGTCGTCGTCTACGCGTATTAACCTTAATTACACCAGAAAGCCATATAGCGCAAAGTGAACTGGTTACCGGGATCCAGTCCGGGAAACCGCTTTCAGCCTTGGGGTTGAGCGCAACTCCCTCACCGTGGATAAATCACGATCATCAGATACCCAGAGACGGAAAGGCGAAATATTAGTGCTTGAGCTGACCGACCAAAGTGAGATATTGTATGCATGTTTCTGAGACATGTCACACACCAGTAGAAAGGGAAATCAAATATTCAGCAAGAGATACCCGCTACCTTATTTGACAGAGAGTAACGATATTGAAAGCTGTAATACGGGTCAGATTTCTTCTGTATAGCAGGGGATTATTTTGGTTTATTTAATTAGGTAGTAGTTTACACATGGGGAAAGGGCAGCTAGACTGACCTCAATGGACCATTTGAAGGATAAGAGTGTGGGTAGTGGTCGGTGAGAGCTGCAAGGCTGAATGATACCACTCATTTGCTAAGGCCCAGGAAAGAGATTTATTGGAGGTATCCCAACTTGAATCGTTTACTTAAAAGTTTGATCCGCAAATTAATGGGAGGATGTAGGAGCTGCTTCCAATACCCTGACCGTAGCTTCTGACTCAATTCTCTAACCCACGCCTCTGGATCCTGGTCGAAGCCAGTGCCTACTCTCAACGTCGCCTTTTCACTACTAATCAGCCGAAACAATTAGCACAAAGCGAGCAGTCTGGTTCCTTTTTTACTCTTTCATTGCACAACTTACAGGAGTATTCTCCTTCACGGTTGCATGGTAGTTAGTCACCAGTGTTTACTGTTGATCTAATGGTGTAGAGTAATGATGAAGAATGCGACTGGTTTATGTTTTGGTGTTCAAACTTCGTATCCGCATCTAGTGGAAGGTGAAGGTTAAGAAAATTTTATAGAACCGCTTTGCGGTGTTCGTTTATTGTTGTTCAATTTTCAATGAACATCCAGGAATGTTCAGGAGGACGCTTGAAAATGTTCGCTTTTCCAAACTCTGCAGATGAGATGCTTTCTTTTGTGTCTAATAACTTGTAACCAATGAGTTCTTGTTTGCTGATGAACAGCTTCGTGTCGAAGGGCGTGTCTCCTTTCGTCAGAGGATTGCTGTTCATAATAACAAAAGTAATAAAAAAGTAATAATAATGACAGCTCCGGAACCTGGGCACCACTCATTGGTTTTTGTTCTTATTCCCACTCCAGCGAAGCGGATTGCAAATCTAATGATGACTTTCAAGTACAGCCTGAACTGATCTTTGGTAACTCCGTTATCTTCCATCCCAATTTGTTAGAACTGTGAAACGGTTATTTATGCTAGGCAGGGCAAATTTGTCAAGACCAAGATCACTCGTTACTTCATGGAATAGCCAACTGAACTTCAAGCTGGTAAGCTTTGTGCGTTTGAACCTTCTACATTCGAACATGTAGAAAAAAGGGAAACAATTAAAAGAATCTCATAATTAGTGAAGTGGCTCACCCGAAATGGCACATACTGAGCCATAGTATTTCTTTGTTACGTGTGGCGTCATCATGGCTTCACAGATGTACACACTGCATCTTGTAAGTCCGCCATATAGGTTCTCAAAAGCATGTCCGTCTTTGGTGGCCAGTATACGCTCCTGTCCTCGAGGAAACGAACAAACCGTCCGTTTTCTGATTCCAATTTTTGTTTGAAACTCCGCCTCCATACGCTCTCCTTTGTTTCCCGGTGTAGCGAATGAAAATTTATTGAACATTTTGATGCGCTCTGGCACTGTGAAGCGTTGGGGATATTGTGTATGCAGTAAAATAAAGGATTTAGATTCCGTTGTTGCTATGGGCCTGTTTAGAACTCCAAATATGATCGTTCCATGATAATTCACTTCTCAGCAAGCCATATAACGGGCTACAGACAACGTACAACTGAATAATATGTGGTCACCATTGGCGGTGGTAGCTATCACACGAAAAATCCCTCGTCAGTTCACTGTTAGAAACATTGTTATGTGAACTGAAAGTCAAGCACCAAAATACATTCGGGCAAAAGGTCCACTCCTGTGTCTGACAGGGCAAGCCATGGAGAAGCTTCCTCGGACGCTAGCAACATATAATTTCCCAACGTAATTTTAGGCTACAGAGCAAAATGAGTAACAAATGGTCCACAGCCACAAAACTACAGATATCATTCCTTAAAATGACCTTAATTCGAGAGCATCCAGTGAGCTCTTCTCTCCAGGACACCGCTTATGGGTTCGGGATGAAACAAAGCCGCGGTCAGACAAGACTGTATGAACTTTGTTTTATGACCACTTTTGTGTTATGAATGTATATTGCAGACGGTTGCAGCAACAATTTGAATTAATCGTCAACACAAGCAGTCACGAAAACTTCTGCTTATTGACCACAAGGAGTACCGAAATCTGTACGGACTACACTCGCTCACTTGAGCGATCACTGTTAAACGCAGACTTGTTGCAGTTTCAAAACAGCAGTTTCACCCGCAGTTTAAAAACGTATTCCCATTAATACTCTTGAGCTGGAGAACGTTTAACTTACACGTTCAAACTACTCGGGGGGAAAAATTAGGACCAATTTTCCATTTAGGTATAATTTTATTGAGAAGTGCAGAGCTGGTAGTCGTTTCATGATTCGACCTTTTATCTTACACCCAATTCCACATTCAATCACGAGGCTATGATATGATCTAGCAGCGGCTTTTGGGGTCAAGTGTTTGAAATTGTTATGGGTTAATCTTCTAGTTTGGCTGATGGCATGACCCAAATTGGCCGGTGAATTACCTAGAAATTAACTTGCCTCCGCGGTAAAATTGTGCTCCCAGTTGACGGGTTCAGGAATTTTGTAGTTTATAAACGCTAATTGACCTTCGCCTCTAGGAAAATGGAAGTAGGTCTGGAACTGAATAAGAACGATGACGGTCTCAACTCTTTTGTAGACCGGTCATGATGGCTTCTATGCATAGAGTGACGAGACTCTTGTGTCAAAAGTGAATCGGTGACCAACTACAACTCCAGTGACATTTAACAGACCTATATGAAACATTGCTCTGTTAAACCATTTCCCACTAACTTGCCGATGTTGAAATCAACAGAATCTAACAATTCACCATGGCTTATTGAATATGAGTTGTCTGTCTTTATTGGCTGTCTCACTCGAGCTTTGTAGGAGTCCATGGATATCCTACAGCCCACCAAACTAAGCACGGTGATGCTGTAACAGTTACACTTCCGAAACACTAGCTGGCAGATCAATTGATCGTGGATACCAATTTTCGAACTGTTTGATATATTAGTAGCTCAATAAGGAGATATTTGTGTCTACGTGCCATTGGTGGTGGCAACGACTTTCGTTCATCAGACTTCTTCTCATTCGTCGGGCTGTCCTGGCTCGATAGGTCCACGACAGCCGGGCATGACCAGATGAAGGAACAATCTAAATCCGCAATCGGCTATTTACAGATTCACTCGACTGGTCGTCCGGTTTTTGAAAATAACATTTCCCACTAACTGATTTAAAACTAGCACCGATGCCGAAGAGCTTTTTAACGGGATTACCAGATTTCACGTTACTTCGCGTCACCTGGATTAGCGGCCTGTTGCCACTACACTTATTCTATAATAGACGAAACACTGCGCAGCTACTAACCACTTAGGATCACTCATAGGAAAAGTGTGGAAAAAATAACTCATTTGAAATCATCTAACCCAGAATCTTGGTCCAGAGACACTGTGAGGTGTTGACACTGAATGTGCAAACAATGGCTTTCTTGAAATATGAAGTCTTGCCGGGTATTTGTATTAACCACCCACATGGTATCATTTGGAATATGCATTTTTAAACTCATCCGTCTGACGAAAGGACTCACATATTGTAGTGCTAGCAAAGCACCTCTGCAACTGAAGTGTGCTGCTGTTTAAAAAGCAGCAGTGTATTCTCAAAATACGATAGTGTCTTGTTCGAACCAGGAAAAGAGATTCGTCAT